CTATATATATATATATATATATATATATATATATAGAGAGAGAGAGAGAGAGAGAGAGAGAAAGAGAGAGAAGTCACTCTTGTAACGAAGATGTATCAGCTCTAAATGACAAATCAAGGAAAAATATTTGAGAAGGTGTAGTAAAATATTCCTTCCAATTTAACTTATTTGTCTTACTTTTCCTTTTTAATCCGTTTCAAAAAAAATATTTTCATAGTTCTAAAATTTTCTCATTACAAGTTTAAAGTCACCAAAATAAAATGACATTTTAATACCTACTACATATCTTTTTATTCTAGATCCCAAAAACTAAATAAAAAATATTTTCTTAAAACTCTTCTCATATTTGTTTTATGTCATTCAAGTGGTACAAAAGATAATCTTTTTGACTTTTCAATGTTGAATTACTAATAAGAAGTCGCTTTCATCCATATAAACAAGTTATTTATAATACAAAAATATATATTTTAATGTAATTTTATTTTATACTTATACTCTTCAACTTTACGTGTATATAAAACGACAATTAAATATGTATTAAATTAAACAAATTACATCCTATATAACAATACATATCTTACGTTTTGTCTTACATATATTATCCAACATAGGATTCATGTGTATACCTGTTCAACTCTATAATGTCTATTAGTGTCTCAAAAATTAAATAATATAAATATAATATGACATTAAATTAAAAACAGGCATTATGCCAAAAAATATTTTTTTAAAAAAAAAGTTAGTAAAAAGATAGATACAGCTAACCATGGGAATCTTGTCCTTAAATAATATACATTGAGGCTCACATAACATCAAATTAACTAAAAGATCCAATAATCTTACCTAATAACAAAAACTATATTTATTTATTTATTTATTTTTTTTAAAAAAGAAAAGACAAAGATGCAAAGAAAAAATCAATGCACAAAACACAAATTATATCACAACATAAAAGTCATCAATTGGACCAAGTCTAATACCATCAAAGTCATCATCTACAATATATCAATCAACACCAATTTTCTAACACTAATTAATGTCACAATTAAAAATAAAAATAAAAACATACCAGAAAACCGCTCTTAGATACCGGTTTATTAGAACCAGGGGCGGATCTAGCCTTGATTTAGATTCTACGTTAAATAATACATATTTCAACCCTAATACATTAATCAGAACTCGATCTGTATAGTTCGAATTCTGAATCCATTTCTGATTACGAAATCGTTAATCCAAGAATATCAGCAGCAGATTTCCCCATAATATTAGCAAACTCATTAAAACTTATAACACCATCACCATTAGTATCAGCTTCTTGCATCATATCAGATAATTCTTTATACGTTAACGGGCGACCCATTTTAGCCATTGACCCGGCCAGCTCAGCAGCCGTTATATAACCGTTACCGTCTCGATCGAACGATCGAAAAACCTCCATTAATTGTTCTTGATTTATTAAAATTTCCGCATTTATATCAGGCATTATAGCATTTACGAGTTCATCGAATTCGATGAACCCGTTGCCATTATTATCCATGTTGGCTAATAATGTATGGATTTGATCGCCCGTTGGTTTGAGCCCTAGGGCACGAAGAAGCGCGGCTAACTCTAGTTGTGTGAGGCTTCCATCATGATCAAGATCGAATCGTCCAAATATTTCTTTGAGTTGTTTGAGTTGTTCATCGGATTGAATGCTTACCATTCTACGAACGTTTATATTATTATTGAGCTCGTAATGGTACCTCAAGAATATAGAAGGGAGAAATGAAAGAAGTTTGAGATGTGTTTTTGTTTTTTGTTGGGATTTAATGATGTAATGAGAAACCGTGTGAGGGAATAGAGAGGAAAATTCTTAGGTATATTATTTTATTTAAGGTGATATAAAAAGATTGTGAATTATTATTGGTTTGACATAAATATAGTAAAATTTTGTTGAAACTCTTAAAATATATATAACTAGTTTTGGATAAGAACAAATTTTCTTATATATATAGACATTACTTTTTTTCTTTTCTATATATATAGATTTACTTGTTTATTTTTATTTGTATTTTATTTTCTGAATAACAGAAATACTGTATTTATTGTACTTTATTATGGGTGTTAGTGCCACCGAAAGTGACCAGACAGTTTGTCATTCAATGAATGGTTGGTGAAGCCATTAATGGAAATCCAAAAATAAAATTAAAAAAAGAGAATGAATGGAAAAAGGGTGAAAATTTATGTGTTTAATGAATCAAACTAATATTGCTTGTATGTTTATTACGTTTTTTTTAAGATTATTTTTGTTTTGAGTTGAAGATATATATATATATATATAATCATATTTAACGTAGAAGTAAAATTTATATATATTTTACTCGTCCAGACTTTATTTGTGAAAATTTTATCTTTTTCTTAATTTATCAAAATTAATGAGTAACAAAGAAAAATTGAACAAGTTATTAGAAACAACGAAAATAATATGTAAAGTAAAAGTAATACTTATTTATCATAATCAAACTAAAAAAAATACTTTGTATTCAAACACATTACATATTGATTTGATGCCAAGTGATCGACTTTAAGCACAGTACTCGTGTCAATATTCCAATTTTGAATCAAGTTGATTGAAAAAATACAGACTTCTCTACGGAAAACTAGAATTTCGATATGATAGTGAATTGCCTGTGATTCAAACCCGGAACTAGTCGGATGGAATAGATAAGTTCCTTGTCAAATAAAATCCGCTTGAAAAAGAATAAATTGAAACCAATTCGAAACTGTATCAAAGCAATGATATCTCGAAATGTATAGAGCCTAACATTTACGGAAGAAGTCTTCATTTTTCCACCATATTTTTTTAATGTACTACTGAAAAAATGTATCAGTGTAAATCGATCCATTAATATAAAGCGAATCGATATATCTCAAAGGCGAACAAATACAAAGCAAAACTCAAAAGATCATTATGTATTGTACTACATGACATATATTTGCTCGAGAAGGGGACATGTTAACCACTATATCGTTCTAATTTTATCAGATGTCCGCGGAGTAACTGGAGAACCTGTACATTTCATCAAGAATTGCATTGTGACCTTGAACAAGAAAGAAAATGAATGAACTCTTCATCAGTTGTATCAGTTACTTACAGAAAAAATTGCTGTCAAATTGCAGATACTACATGTAGTATGTCAAGCTAAAAAGAGACCTACTTCACAAAACTTACCTCTCAGCTAAAGCAGCCTTTGATGTATTAACAGATGTTCACCTAAACATGCTCAGACAACTCTCTACTATAGTTGGTGCTTTGACTCGAAAAATCTGAATTAACATCTTGACTAGGAAATGCCATCCTTCGAAAGAGTCTTATTTGTGCAGATTGCTCAGCAGAGTTATATATTGCACTTTCACCAACTTTCATTCCGTTTGTCAAATCAGACATTAGCATACTATCAAAAGCTCTCATGATCTGTGCAAGCATAAGCATGACGAGAATGTAATTGCCCTTCTGTTAAGGAAGATTTGAGGTAGTTTGTGGATTAGTTTTCAAGTAAAGTAAATGAATTTTTACCTGTCCCATCCCTGGTCTCTTTGCAGCTGAGTGACGCACACAAGCTGCAGCTATCTCAATCATTTGAAACATCTCACTGTCAATGTAATTAGTCCCAAGGCGAGGATCTGTCAACTGATCAAATTCCTCTTTTTCAAGTGCATTACCAAGCAAAGGTCGAGCCTGGAAGTAATCAAATTAAATCACAGTTAGTGGATCCTGCTCGACAAAATGAGAAGGGATATAAGATCTCTGCTGCTACTGTTATTGGTTTTTGGTTCTGCAATGAATAATTAAATGGTAGTTGAGTTTCAAGTTTAGACTTGTCTTAGGATCTATGGTTTTGATATCATGAGCAAGCTGCAACAAAATCTAAGCAGACAACTTTTGTGGTGTTGCTTTAGTTGTTGCAAAAGCAACCTAACCTCAATGTTTCAGGTGCTAATATTGATATTACAGGACTGACTACATAATTCTCAATACTACCTGAAACCAAATCAAACCGTTGTATGATCGTGTCGCAAAATAGTGTATAAGAAACGAAGACAGAATCCTACAAGGAATCAATGGAAAAATAGTCTGCAATGGAAATACTCAAATATCAAGTTCATTTGATACGCTCAGCACTGAAATATCAGGTCCAGTTAGACTTCTATTTTTCTGACAGATTCAGCTATGCTGCTAAGTGCAACCGATATGTTGAATATAGACACCTAAGGGAATGAGAGAAGAGGGTTATCCCCAAATATATCCCGTGTCAGTTCTATAAGACAAGGAAGACGCATTATTCCCTCCGAATTTGCAAGAATAGCTGAAAGACCATAGAAGATAAGGTAAACTTTGGGCCTTTTCCTTGTAAGAATGAAGAAATAAAAGCTTGAAGCTTTAGTAGATCGTATATAACATGATATGAGCTTCAAACTGTCCATGCTATGTTTTTTAATATTTAAAGTTCGGATCAACCTCACAGAGCCTAGCTCATTCTCTCTTGAGTCTTGAAAAAACCCACAACCCCTTGGGGTTATCCTAAACTTGGAAGAAGAAGTAGAAAAAGAAAATTACTTTTCTAACTTAATTACTTTAAGGACTGCAACATAGTAAACTAGTATATCCATTTGGTTGCTCTAATAGATTGAAAGCATATTGTTAAAAAAAAATTAACAACACGACTTACATGCTCTTTTAGTGTCATAGGTTGTTGGTGTTAATGCATTTTAATATCAAAATTAAAAGGTCAAAGTCATCTGCGGCCCCTTAAAGTTGTCCTCATTATTCATTTAGACACCTCAACTAGACCTAGTACCTATTGAACACCTCTACCACCCTAGATTTGAACCGTCTAAGCATTTTTTTTATCATTTTTCATAAAGGGCGCGTGTGTTTAAGCTCCCCATATATATAGAATGACCATTTAACAACTATCACGTGTATCCGACGTGCATTTGTAAATATCTTAATTAGGAAAAATTCTTAAATCATTTAACTTTGACACAACTTATCTCTCTTCGTGATTTCTTCCAAATTGAAGCTCTCCATCTTCCCGATTTAATTTGGATTTGTCGTGTTCGTGTTACGATCTTGAAGATTTCCTTGTGTGTGTAAGGATTCTCAATGTTTTTTTTTACATGTTTTGTAAAATGAATTCCAAAAGGCTAGGGTTTTGTAAAAATATAGGGCTTGTGACTTTTGCGAATATTTTGTCCCTTCTTTACTATTTCCCAGAAAATATGCTTTAAAGCTTTGTTTTTAAGTTGTTGTATGGGTTATATGAGTATATTTTGTTATTTTTAAGTTAGGGTTTGTTTGATATTTTGTAGGGCTACCTAACAATTGACAATGGAGGAGCTTATATTTACAAAGATTTACCATGGTAGAATCTTATCCGAGATATATGTCCCTACTTGTGTTGAAAATTGTGTCTGCACTCAGGTATATTATTAAGGACCACTTTCCCATTTTGGAACTATTGTATTATACTATAGAATTGGGGTATGAAACTGTGGAGGCTTTTATGTCAAGGATTTATTGAATAAACAATGGATCCTAATTACAACTGACCAACATCTAATTAAAAACTTAAAACATGATGACACTTTTAAAATATTTGTATGTCATGTATTAGATGAACCCTTACTTGACACTGAGGGACCTAGAGGCTATCTAACTAATGTTGGTGGTGAAGGTGTTGACCTTGACCTTGGTGAAGAGGGTGAGGCTGTTAACTGAGGTGGAGAAGGTGAGGATGTTGACCTAGGTGGAGAAGGTGAGGTTGTTAGGCTGTTAACCTTGGTGGTGAGGGTGCTGATGTTAACATTGGTGAAGAGGGTGGGGATGAGGTCTGTTTGCAACAAATTTTAAATATATAAAAAATAAACAAACCATACAAATAAAATATGAAGAAACGTGATTTTATTCATCAAGATTGTGAGTACAAAACTCTCTCCCTTGATTCTACTCTCTAAGATAATTTATCCATGATTCGAGGCCTGTTAGTGGCGTATTTCTCGAATTAGGATGATTTAGATTTGACCTCTCTATATGAGATCTTGATCTCTTTGTGGATTTTTCGAGATGCCTTTTAAGGAAATTTAGTACCCTTTATATTGGCATAAACTAGGGTTTAGGGTTGAGTAACCACCAAGAATCCTTATCTGAGTTCAACACAATTTGTAGAGTCCCAACTCCAATTGAACGCATCTTGTAGAGCCCTACAAAATTTCAATGTCTACAAATGCCCCCTGCTTCAAGGCTTGACGGAATGTAGACTTGTGAAACTCAAAGACGAGGCTTGAAGTACTCATTATTCCACCTTTGCAGCTTTAGATTTTCATATTTAATTTAAGAGAGAAGAGATGAAGGGCAGATTTGGTCCCACTGGGCGTGCCAATTTGTTTGCAACAAATTTTAAACATATGGAAAATAAACAAACCATACAAATAAAATATGAAGAAACGTGATTTTATTCATCAAGATTGTGAGTACAAATCTGTTCCTCCCTTGATTCTACTCTCTAAGATAATTTATCCATGATTCGAGGGCCGTTAGTGGCGTATTTCTCGAATTAGGATGATTTAGATTTGACCTCTCTATATGAGATCTTGATCTCTTTGTGGATTTTTCGAGATGCCTTTTAAGGGAATTTAGTACCCTTTATATAGGCATAAACTAGGGTTTAGGGTTGAGTAGCCTCCAAGAATCCTTATCTGAGTTGAACACAATTTGTAGAGTCCCAACTCGAATTGAACGCATCTTGTAGAGTCCTACAAAATTTCAATGTCTACAAGGTCGTTAACCTAGGTGGAGAGGGTGAATCTGATTTCTTGAGTAGTGATTCAGACCTAGATATACCTTCAGAAGGTGGTTTAGATATTGATGAAGAGTTG